ATTCACATAATACAAAGTAGAATCATGCAGACAAAAACAATGTTATACAGTATAAAATGAATAAGCAATATTACTCATTTCAAAGATAAATAAAATTAGATATTCATTAAAAATAGAATAAGCTGCTTTGTTTCGATTTCAGCAAAATAATTATTGCATCAAAATTTCTTGTTAAACTGCAAACCAACATGTGCTTTCATGTGTGATTTTATTCATGGAATCCATCATTGTTTAGTGATTACAACATTTCCCAGTGAGGTGATGACAGTCTATGTTGACTACATTTACCAAAGTGCAGGCTGATTATATTTCTATTAAACTGTTACAAAACAATTACCAGAAACAATTACGATTATAATTAAAACTTCTTTCACCTCAACCCAGATAATGTCTTCCAAGCATTTAGCTTTCAAGTTAATGAACAAATGAAAAAGGATAACTTACAAGATTTTTTGCATTTGAAAGTATTAACACACCACTGCCTTTAAATTATACTATCAAAAGAATTATATGTGTGTTGTATGTGAATAGAAAAAACAGAGAGCAATTTCATACTTTATGATTGTCTAAACATAGACATTAAGAGGTCATGTCAAAGCCAAAATTATCTTTGTAATGTATCCTTAAAGATCAGTACAGATGAGTAATTTTGATGTGAATAATTTGTCTATATCTATTGAATAATCAACATAGATTCAACACAAGAACTATTTTGAGCCTTTTATTAATATGTTTGCTTGGCCTTTACACTTTAAAAGCACATTCACATCTTTTCCCTCATTCCAAAACATAACAACTCTTCAAAAATAAAGGTGATTTTTATGTTCAGCTTTTATAGAAGAAAACTGCAGTTAATAGGACCAGTTATTAGCAGAAGTATGGACACTTTTCCTGAATTCTTTCTAATATCTTTTTTTTTTTTTTAAGAGAGAGTGAGAGAGGAGAGAGAGAGAGAGAGAATTTTTAGTATTTATTTTTTAGTTCTCGGCGGACACAACATCTTTGTTGGCATGTGGTGCTGAGGATCGAACCCGGGCCGCACGCATGCCAGGCGAGCGCGCTACCGCTGAGCCACATCTCCAGCCCCTCTAATATCTTTTGTTATCTCTTCTATGTATAAAGTATTCAGTGAAGGGTACAGAGCACATCAAAATGTTTCTGCATAACTAAACTGTATTGCTCTTGTCTGTTTGCAAAAGATGGGCATCTGTATTGCCCCCTTTGAGTGTGGCTATGACCCTGTAAGGAAATAGGTCAAATTTTCAGGGAGTTTAAACTCTAATAAGAAAATGGTGAAACAACAACATCCTATAAGACAGCATTTGATTGGGTCTTTGGTTGATCAAAGAAGCAGGAATTATATTCAGCTAGGAAGACAGAAAAGACAGCTTGGATTTCGAAGATAACTGAAACAAATTGATAGATGAAGCCAAATGAGGACTATGCCTCTTCAAAGTCTGGTCTTAGATGGGTTCTTTGAAAATCTGCTATGCTTTCTTGGCCAGAGATTTTACTAGAGAAAAAAAAAAGAAATATTATTTTTCAAAATTAAAAATAAATATTTCTGAAATCATTAGAGACGGATTGGGTATGCCAGACCAAAGGACTTTCTAATAAATGTCAATCTTCAACAAAACACTTAGGTGTCATAAGGAAATGATAAACACCGTGGCCTATGTTGAAAAAGTTTGGCTTTAGAAAAATAATAAAATTCAGAACACTTTTTACCACATAGAATTACAATTGTCCAACCCCAAATTTCCATCCCTCTGTCTTTTGTGAAGTACTAACACGAGGTCTTGATAGCTGGGACATTTTGAACAGCAACACAGTGATCTAAACTATAAAGAAGGCCGAATGATGAGCACAAAAAGCACTGCTAGAAGAAAGAGTAGAGAGTCAAACCCAGAGTAGCCAAATCCTTTTTTTGGTCCATAAGATCAGCAATAGTAGAGGTAACAGAGTAGAGCAGGAGGTGTGATTAACGTCATAAAAATTCAGACTTTCTTAGTGTTCAAGGTAGTCAGTCCATCGTCAGTGGATGCTGGTCATAGGTGTGTGGGTAGATTAGCCTAAGGTCGGGAATCATAAACAGCAATGRCACATGGAAGGGAAATGAACAACACCTACAATTTTCAATAGGAGTTAAATTAAGGAGGTTTTGTATCTCTGTATCTCTTTCCTAATTTCCTTTCCTTTTAATCTAGATACCTGAGTCATCTTCTTTAGATTAACCAATTTTTTAACTCACTACTTTCCAAATTAATTTGGATGATAATTTTCTAGATTTAGAAAAAAAAAACTTGGTTAGATTTTACAATAGCCACTTTATAGACTTCCTAGGAATCTTGTGCTAAAAGTTACATAGACTTCAAAGAAAAGGGAAGAATTTATGTTACTGTACTTATTTCCATTAGTACACTTGTACACATACATGAAGATAAAAAGTATAGGCTTCAAAGCAGAATTTACTTACTTGCTATATTAGTTATGTTGTTATAAGGAAAAATATGAAGCTAATAAACTGGTAGGAAAACATCCGTGAATATATAATATTTGTGTCTATGTATATGAAATAAATACCTTTAAGAGAAAATCAAAAAAGCCCAGGTTTTGTTCATTGTTAGTCAGATTTTTTTCACTGTGGCCAAAACTATCCAACAAGAACWTCTTAAAGGAGGAAAAGTTTAGTTGAAGCTTATTATTTCAGAGGTTCAGTCCAAGTTGGCTGGCTCCATTGCTTTGAGCCTGATGTGAGACAGCAAATCATGGCGGAAGGATGGGTAACAAAAGCTTCTCAATTCATGGCAGCCAGGGTAGCAGAGAAGCCAAGGACAAGATATTGTCTGTGGCCACACCCCCAGTTACCTATCTCCTCTAACCACACCCTACCTGCCTACAGCAGTCCACCTAGGAGTTCATTCAAATTAATCCATAAAATGGATTAATCCATTAATGAAATACAGCTCTCATAAACTAATCATTTTATCTCTGAATGTTCCTGTATTAACACATGAGCTTTTCAGGGGACACCTCATATCCAAACCATAACAATTATTTTCCAAGGATGACCCTTGTAATTATTTTTAACCTTTGTTAAATCCACCAGCTCTTTTCCTCTTCTGAAACAAAGCTTCATCTCCACAAGTTTTCCCACTGTCACTCCCTGATGTGACCAGGCCTTTTGTTCTGTRCTCACCATTGTTACTATTGTTGAGACTTCAACACATTCACAATGAAGAGCACACTGTCTCCTTTTTGTATGCAATAATAGCACACATTTATTCAGTCCTGAATGGTTTGCAAACTATTTCCAAAATATAAGCTTTGTTCATTCTCACAGCAAATCCCAGAGGTAGATATTTTTATAAATACTTTTGTATAGATGAGAAAAGAGTAACTTAATGTGCTTAATCACCTGATCAAAAGGCCAAAATATAGTCTTAAATCAAAGTCCATAGTTCCACTGGTAACTGAACTAGCAATGAAATCCTGTCCTCTGATAGTAGGGCCAGGGAATACCCCATCCTACCTTCTTAGTTTCAACAAACTATATTATTTGAAGCAGTAAAATATAAAAATGCATAGATACACATTTATTTAGAGAAATAATTATTATTACTAACTTAAACAACTTACAGGAACAATATTTGCTAACTTATACATATTTTATCAGCATTTGTTGACTCACATATTACTCATATCTGAAGTTTTATGCTGAGTCAAAAATTATATAATCAATGCTTATTTTTCTTCTAACTTGCATCATGAAAAAAAATGAGGAATGAAGAACCCAGACTCTTTTGACTCTATAAATTATCTTTATTGCCATAAAACTTCAACGAATAAGCTCTAAATATAACATCTTTTAAAATTCAAATCAAATGATGGAATGATAYTCTGGTAAAATAACAATAATCAAAATGAATAGAAACACCCAACTTTTAAGATAGTTGTAAATGCGTGGGAATAAGTTAGAGAAGGAGAAGTATGAGATGATCTCATTTCTTCAATATCCAGTACATCCCGATACTTTAAGAGGAAATGAAAACCAACCACCATGGGAAATAATTGCTGCACCATCAGCACGATTTCCGTCAGGTGAGCTTCTGTAAATGCAGTGCACAGATCCTGCAACTAGAGGGGATCCTGTAAATGAAGTGTGTGGCTTCACTTGTCGAGCACTTATTATTGGCAAGTCACTATACTAACAGTTTGATTTACTGCTACAAACCCTGAAAGTCTGAGAAACATTCATCCTAATCTTAGGAATGAGAAAACTGAAGCTCAAGAAGGGTGTATCATTTCCCCTATGCACAGCATCACAAACCCATTAAATGGTGGCACTGGACTTGGAACCCAGTTGTCTGACACCAGGATTTATGCTCTTAACTATTGCAGTTAATCACACCTGCCAACCTCATGTAGGCTTTAAAATTTCAGAGAATTGTTCACATAAATATGTCAGGTAAAGTAAACATAATTATTTTTGTACTTTTGTTCTCAGTAAGGCTCTTTTTTCCCCTGTTTTCCCCTTAGGTTTGAATTTATCAATAAGACTCCCTTAGGTTTGTTCTAGTACAAGATTGTTCTATTCTCCTTCCTTGAGTGAACAATTTCTATCTTATACATGATTTTTGCCCTTTGTTTTTGATGCTTTCCTTTCAGAGAGAATATCCCTCTTAAAAAGGACTGCCTATAAAATAAAGGAGTAAGAAAGATCCATGTTTTTATATAAATCTTTATTTATATACTACTACCATTTAGATTCCCTAATTTTTGCTAATTACATTAAATAATGAATATGCTAACATGCAAACCCCCATAGACATGTGTACACAATTTACATGATCTAACAAATTCAACTGAAAATATAATATTACCTTACCTTCTAACATGCCTTAAAACATACAGAGTTTACCCAGTCATGGTTTTTCATGGTTTATCCAAATGACTCCTGAGCAAGTCAAGGTAGTAGTCATTTGCTTTTTTCCCCCTAGAAGCCCAGAAGAAGCAGTTGGAAGAGACTATAGAGCTGATCCAAGATGAATGTGTGTCAGAGAATGCAGATCACTCTACAGAGGAGCCTGCTGAAGGAGGGCAAGATGCGGATGGAGAAGAGATGACTGATGGGATAGAGGAGGACTTCGATGAAGATGGGGGTCATGCGCTGGTAGGAACTAATTGTTTGGTGAACACATCCACTGGGTAACAGCACCAGCATGTTAGCAACACATTCATTCTAAAATGAGAATTAAATCATTGGGGGCTCATTTCTTCTTATATGCATATATTCAAGGGAACATCAGTATAGTGCCTTGTGCATAATAAGTGCTCGACTTCAAATATGAGGGTGTAAAAAATGAATAATATAAATATTACATATTTGCTTAGGAATATCTAAAGTTCCAAATGAAATGTCTGAAATACTTTTATTCCAAAATGCTCAATTATGAAAGCGATCTTGCATTTGTACAATTAGAAATTAAATGTACATGGACATAATATGCTGGTGACAAAAGACTATTTACTGAAGACACATGGCTCCTCCTTTAATAGTGTCACTCATAAATGACAATTGTCTCTACTAGTTGTGTGGTCAACAGGCCTCTGTATAGTCTTTTTACTAAGATGACCCGTGAGTGTGTGTTGAGCTCATCATTTCCAGTGTCTGTGCTGCTTGGTAATCTGTCATTATGATCTGGGAATTTAGATATGACTTGGTTTTTTATATTTTTTTCCTCTCAATGTTCTAATCACTATACTGCTCATTTCTAATCACCATTTCCTGCATAAACACACAAGGGACTTGGTAAATATGTGCTGATTAGGCTGTTATTTCTCATATTTTATCAACCATGAAATTAAATATACTATCTCAAAGGACCTGACTAATAAAACAGTACATGGGCAACTGTGTGTGTGTGTGTGTGTKTKTGTGTGTGTGTATCTCAAATACCTATAGATTGATGATATAAAACTTAGATTATCCTAGGTACTACAGCTTCCAATTTAATACCTATGTTACTTAAGAAATTTTGTAAGATATCTGTCACTATTGTTCTGGGATGGTAATAAACTCATTCACAGTTGTAAATACAGCCTAATTTTACAGAATTYTATACTGACTTCGAACATTCCAGTTCTACCTAAATTTCATGGCAACTTTAAACTTCTCAAATATGAGCTTTGAACAACCCACTTCTATTTCTACAAAATTCTGCTAAAATTTGAGAGACTTAAGTACCATTTTTAGAATTAGATTAATTTCAGGACTATGTTCATTAAGCACTAGAATGAAGGACAAAGAAACTCCTCAGCTTTAATTCTACAACAGGACTTCTTCAACTCATTTTAATCMAACTTCTGGTTCAGCATTCCATTGTGGCTCGTCTTCCAGGTGGACTTTATGTTGTCATTCCCAATGGATAYCTCTCTGGTTTTATTTTAATTTACTTCTCAGCAGGATTTTACATAGCTAGCCTCTTCTGTCTCCTGAGAAATTTTCATAATTACCAGTCTYTCATTTTCAGTTTCTTATGCTAGAAATGTACCCTTCATATTTTCACTTTAAATACTGGAATAGCTCAGAACAGAATACCAGAGCTTTCCATATTATCTATAGGACAAGGAGTCCTAAATCTACATCATTATTACTACTGCCTGTCCCCACATAGATTTCCAGTAAACTATTGAAACAATATGGCCAGAAAAAGAAGCAGAGGAAGAAGAAGAATTGGGGTCCCCCCACCCCCCACACACACTATCTTATTTTTTTCCTAGTCTTCCTCATTCTGTCTAATAGCATAGCCATCCACACAGATTATTTATTGTTTACCCTGTGCTCCCTGTTCATTCTTTCAAATCATAGCCCAAAGCTAGTTACTTCTCTGTTGCATTCCCAAAAAGGGAAATAAAAAGCACAAATCTTTTCTCTCCTGAAAGACGGCAATATAGATTTGAAGAGCAACAATGCAGTATAATATTCACTAGGAGACAGAAAGGAGAGCTGGCTTCCACACGCCCTGGTGGCGGCTCAAGGCAAATGGCTCTCAAGAATGCCATCCTGAGAGAATGAATGTGAAACTACTACAGGCACAGAATCAAAGCAGATCCAGCAAAATGAGCTGGGAGAATGACTTAGAGTGATGGTCTCCCTTGTGAAACAGGACACAACACAGCTTGTGCAGACAACATCTAGTCCTAACCACCTAGAGAAATGATTTCCATGAAGCAGTCTCTTCAGTGAACATTTTGGGAGCCCACTGCATGTGAACTGAGTGAGAAGGAGGAGTCAGGAGAGGGAGAGGAGGAGCAGGAGAAGAAGGGGGAGGAGGAAGAGTAGGGGGAGGGAGAGGAAGAAGAGAAGGGGGAGGGAGAGGAGGAGGAAGAGAGAGGAGGAGGACAGGGAGAGGGGGAAGGAGGAGGACAGGAAGAGAAAGAAGGAGAAGAAAAAGAAGGCAAAGATAACTAAAATGATTACAAATTATTGCTTTAAGGGTGGAATGCAATGTTTGAGAAAAGGGTTTCTTTTGTGTCAAGTAGTTTAGTGTCTTTTATAGAGAAATGAACTGATTTTCCTCATCTATAAAAAAATAGACTCAGAATTGATAGTTTATACAAAACTAGTCAAGGCTAAAAGACTGTGATTCTGTCATGATCTAAATCCATAAACTTTATTAGTGCATAGAAATCAATATTCAAATTTACTTAAAATTGAACTATGTGTATTGATACACTAGGCATACAGTGTCAAATCACTACTATGTTCCTATTTCTCAATAAATCTATTAGCTAATCTTTATCAATGGATCACTGATGAATGGCACTGAGACTTGTTCTTTGGGAATAAAGAAGGAAAATCATGTTTTTCCCTCAAAAAAGATTGACTCACTGAAGATAAAGGTCACAGACCAAAATACAAGATAGTATGAATGGGGCAGTGGGAGTAAGGGCAATAGGGGAGATATGGCTTACAGGTGAGAAATCACACGTAGCTGGCATGGTCAATAAGGACTTCTTAGAAGTGGGACTGGAGCTTCACCTCGATTGATACCAAATTAAGAAACAACAAGTATTAATTAATGTCAAGGAAAGAATTTAACCTTTGTTGCACTCAGATCATTTTATGGAAGATATATATGAAATTCAAAATGCATTGGATATTTTACATGATAGGCAAATAGGTAGGTAAGTCGATAGGCAGACAAAGAAATATTTTTAAAATAAAACTCCTGTCCAGGTGCTGTGTTGCATGAATGTAATCCCAGAGAGTCTGCAGTCTAAGGCAGGAGGATCAGTAGTAGTTCAAGGCCAGCCTTCGTAGTTTAGTGAAGCCCTAAGCAACTTAGTGAGATATTGTCTCAAAATAAAAAATAAAAAGGGATGGGGATGTAGCTTATTGGCAAAGCACTCCAGAGTTCAATCCCCAGTTCCAAAAAGAAAGAAAGAAAGTAAAATTACTAGCAACTTCACAAGCTTTTCTATTATCTTTACTCATTTCCACCAAATTTGTGTGTTTCTCTTTGTTTAAAATAACATAGTCCAAAATAAAAGTGGTCCATGTCATAACAAAGATACTATAATACTAGTATAATAACATATAATAATAATATATAATTATATATAGTATAATAATATATAATATATATATAATGATAATATATAATATGTAGTATAATAATAATAAGTGCTTAGGACCCTGCTAATTCAAAATGACCAATGAACGTTCCTCAGCTGTGCAAAAAAGGCTACTACAGAGTAGTCTAGAGTAACACTCTAGAACACCACAGAGCTGCCAGGTATGTTATGGAGCTTTGCAGAGGCTAATCTTGGGATTTCCTAAGCTAAATTCTTGGTCAACTTAGATCCAATGCCTTKAGTGCTTGCTTAAAATGATGATATAGATCATCTAGGGAAACCACCCAGGAGTCTGTACTTTGATCAGRCTGAAGTTTAAAACTAAAACATCAATTCACAAAGGAAACTACAGACAAGCGAAATATTTAAATGAATTGGGAGAAGTTGAGTTATTTTGAATTGTACTTGTAATGACTTTTGCTTTTTATTACTATACCTAATCAAATCAGGCAAATATAGTAAGAATCCACAGTAGAATAACCTTGCTGGATTGTATAAATACTTAGGTATGCAAACTGAGTACTACATTGTAATGCATCTTTCAGGATTTAACAAAGCATTCAACTAAGCAGTAAGTCACCTGAGTTTACTAGCTATTGAATTTCTATGCACATTGGGGAAGGTCTGGACCACAAATCTAATTCCTGCAATTGAAGAGAACTCAAAGTAAGCATTCTGGTGAACCATTGAAAAACTGGAATGCATAAAGCATTCTGATCAATATTCGCTTTCTTTATGATCAAAACTGAAAATGTCTCCATCTTTCTAAAACCTTTTGTTCCTTTTCTAACGAAAACCTTCACCTACATGTCCCCCTTATCAACTGTGCTTCACTTTATTTTTTTTTTTATCATTTAGACTGAATGCTAGCTAGAGAATAAACAAGAGCTTGTGGGACATGTTCCCCAAAGGTAGTACTACACAAATTCATTAGATGTGTAAATCACAAGGAAGCCAGAAACTGGTTACTGAATCTTTGATTTGGGACATATATTTCAGCAACACATCCAACAACTAGAACTCTGTCAATACATCATATGCTATCTCTCTGTCCTCCTTACAAAAATATTGAGGGCTTACAGAAAACCATTTCATAATTTGGATGGAGTTAGGGATAGTATGAACAACCATAGTGCATGTGTCCCCTACAAATGGCCTGGGCTGGGTGCCTTGATGCTGAGACTTGGGTCAGGGCCATGACCACCAGGTCTTTTCCAGCCAGACACTCCACACCAGAAATAGGATATGGCTAAGCCTTTGATGTTAGGTACAGGTTGTGATAGGAAGACATCTCTGCCACTGGTTTTTTTTACCCTGGAATCCTAGCTCTTCAGAGCGATCTATAATAAGGGCTCCACATCATGATTTAACACTTGCAACTCTTGTAATTTCAATCATTTCCATTTCAGCTAAAGAGCTCTGCACAACTCATTAGGGCTTTTCCCTCGGAAGGTGGACAACTTGACTCATACAAAAGAGTTCTGTCTGCAGACTGACAGAAGCAAGCCCAAATCCCCGTGTCTTGATGCAGGG